ACCATACTAGCTAGGCTTATGTATCATGTTATATCTTAGACTTTTGCTGCATAGTCCATGATATTATTTATTTTATTTATTGCAAAATTTCTGCCATGTCAACATCTAAGGTCACTGGCGGTGTTTTCACATATATATAAATATATATATGTGTGTGTGTATTTATGTTTAACCCAGTGTCGATGGGCATGATGTGTACATACATGCTATGCCCACTGTGAGTACTTGTTTGATTGTTTTTACACATAGATGGCTACATTTGTACTAAGTCACTAATAAGCCAATTAAGAGTACTGCCTGTCTCGCCCGCTTACCCTTTTCTTTGTTTTACAAAAATATTTCATGTTATCTTATTTTGCTGTTACTAATGTTTATAACATTATAGTAATTATAATGTTTAATAAAATAACACCATCAATATTCGTAGCACTAGTAAAAAATACGTTTTTCTCGCCAATTCAAATCACGTAAGGTCACAGGATCTACTAATTGACTCCTTTGTGGCTAAGCACTAGCAGAGCCATCTATGTGCAGAGACATTTCACAAAAATATAGAAAATTTTCACCCTTTTTTATTCATTTTCCCCGGCGGCATTGGGTTAACATAAATACTTACATACATACATTGTGTATGTATGTGAGCTTGAGAATTGGACCATTTAAATTAGCATGTAACTTCATGCAGCAAAAGCTTTTCTCTCTAAAATATGTATGTCCAGAAAGAATATTGTAAAAGATAATGATAATAATAACAAGTTTAATTATAATGAAGCTATGAAATATAATCACACTAATATCATAATAGACAAGAATGATAATAATAATAATAATAATACAGTAATAATAATAATGATAACAGTAATAATAACAACAATAACAATAATAATAATCATCATCATAGCTACAATAATAATAGTCCTAATAAACTAACAAGAATTGTAATACTCAGCATTAATAACAGATAATTATTATAAACAAAGAAAACACTTCATATATCAAACCATTTTATTAGAAAAGTAAAATTACAGATAAAAAGACACACCTGTCATATATATCTTGTATCTGTAGGATATAAGCCAGTGTCTGGAGTTTGTTTTGAGGGACTGCATACTATTCTGTATAAAGATTTAATTTATAGAATGAAACTTTAACAATTTGAAGAATGCAGGAAAGGATTTGAACTTAACTTCCATTTTTTAGATAATGATGTCAGGGTGGCAAACGCATGTCATTTCTACTGTGATTTTAGTTTATTAATTTTGCTTACACATAAATGGTTAGTAGTAATACAAACATTACAATAATCATATTCATAATAACAATAATAGCTTTATCAATATGAATAGCATTAGAAAAGCAAACTTTTCTTAAGCATTCAAGGAAGTGGGAAATCATGTGTATTCATTGACTACTCGGTGGCTGCGATCTTGTGGAGCCATTATGTGCAAACAAAATTCACAGAACACACACCCACGCACGCACGCACACACACACACACATATGGAGTGTCTCAGTTGAATTACAACTTGTGCATTGTTAAAGAAGGACAGTATCAGGCAACACATGGTCTAGTCTGCTAGCCATGGGTTATGTAAATATACATAGTTCATGCTGAAAGAAAAAATTGTGGTATAAATTTAAGAATAAGCAAAAAAATGATAGTGAGGCTCTATTAGCTGGGAAATGTGAGTGAGAGTGAGGGAGGTGAAAAGCAACTGTGAATGAGTTCACTGCTGGCAGAAACTGGGAAACAATCCTGGATAAAGTGACCACTGACATACAATACTGAAAACCTATATGGCAGTAGAAGACAGCTTTGTACCCAAATTCAAAACTTAAGAAATGGCTGAAACTGGTTAAATGAAAAATGCAAGAAAATGGGAGAAAGAAAGCAGCTCCTATGTCAGAAAATATAGATCTCAGGCAGTGTATGTGAAAGATATAAAGTAGGAAGTAATGAGTACATCCAAACCATGAGAGGCAAAAACAGACTTAAAAAAAATATAATCAACAAATATGCAAAAGAACCTAAGCTCTTCCTTACTTACAAATATAGTAAGACTTAAAGTAGAGATGAAATTATTGCCATCCAGATGACAACACAATTTATACTTAGGTGGAAGAAATGTGTGAAATCTTTAATGAGAAATTTCAGCCAGTAATTGTTTAAGACCCCTGATTTGAAATAGAAAGATACCTACACGCGTTCACACACACACACACACACACACACACACACACACACACACACACACACACACACACGCACACACACACGCACACACACACGCACACACACACGCACACACACACGCACATACACACACACACACACACAAAGTCGCATAAATAAATATATACATTATATATAATTCATGAAAAAGGTGATCTTACTGCTGAATATCAGCTACAGAAAAAGAATTACACATGAATATTTTCAGCACCAGCAAATGATGAAATACAGAGAAACTTAGACCTTTGATGTGAGTCTTGGCAGGGTTTTTTCAGCCACCATATGCACAGTGAGACAGACATAGCCCTTGTTACTTGTACAATCTGAGAATGCTACCTCAGGATATACAAACATTTAGTTCATTTCCTAGATGATGCAAATCAAACTGTCTAATCCGGACACAATCTTGGGTGACAGAGGCCCATGGGACCACCAAAATAATCATGGCAAACTGATCTAATCTATTGTAAAGAAATCAAGACAGAACAAGCTCCTTACCTGACTGCTAGCCAAGAAGGTTCCTTGTGGCTTGATATGAAGGGTGGCTGTGACAATAAGCCTTCCATACTGTTAGACCCCGACATAAAATAGTGAAATAGTAGTGAATCAAACACTAAACTAACCATTCTTATACTAATTTATCTTTTATTTGCACAAAGATGGCTCCACAAGTATTCTGCTGCCAAAGAGTCAATGAGTAGGCCCTATGTAACTGCAACCGATTATCTCATTTCTTGATTTTTCTGGAAAAACATTTTTTTGTAATACTAATAATGTCAGTACTGTTTTTATTATTACTGACATTATGATTATCATAATATTATTAACAATACTATCTGCAATAAGGTGGGGGGGGACTTCCCAGGATATCAAGATAGGTAAACATGTGATATATTTATAATTAACTCCATGGTGAAAAAGCACTTGTTAAGCCATCTATGTGTAAAAAAAATTAATAAAGTAAAACCACAGTGTACATGGCATGTATATCATGCTACCTCAGTATTACTGAGTTAAAACTGCTAGCCAAGAAGGTTCCTTGTGGCTTGATATGAAGGGTGGCTGTGACAATAAGCCTTCCATACTGTTAGACCCCGACATAAAATAGTGAAATAGTAGTGAATCAAACACTAAACTAACCATTCTTATACTAATTTATCTTTTATTTGCACAAAGATGGCTCCACAAGTATTCTGCTGCCAAAGAGTCAATGAGTAGGCCCTATGTAACTGCAACCGATTATCTCATTTCTTGATTTTTCTGGAAAAACATTTTTTTGTAATACTAATAATGTCAGTACTGTTTTTATTATTACTGACATTATGATTATCATAATATTATTAACAATACTATCTGCAATAAGGTGGGGGGGGACTTCCCAGGATATCAAGATAGGTAAACATGTGATATATTTATAATTAACTTCATGGTGAAAAAAACACTTGTTAAGCCATCTATGTGTAAAAAAAATTAATAAAGTAAAACCACAGTGTACATGGCATGTATATCATGCTACCTCAGTATTACTGAGTTAAAACTGCCTGTATTGTCTTTTATTACATATCTTCTGGTTACTCTAAAATTTTCTGAAAGGACTGCATTTGCATTATAATCACTTTGGTGCTGGAATGACTTGTTAACAGCATACAAATATATTTATTGAAATAAATGTGATTATAAAATCATTGCCCTGATAGTTATGATATATTTTGTTTATCCAAACTGAATACTTAAAGAAGGATATCAATAATTGTCTTTTCTTTGGTTTTACACATTATCACTTTGAGCAAATACAAGATGTAGAAACAAATCTGTATAGCTTTACCTATACAGTGTCTATGCCATCCCTTTTTGTGTGTGTATGTTCTTATGCACATTGTGACACATCTTCAGGGAAAAAGGCATAGCATTTCCCAACCCCTTTTCCAGCAAATGCCTCTTGCTACTCCTTAAAACTACAGTATATAGAATAAATCTCTCATGTATCCATATGCTCAAATTACTGAAACAAATAGAAATGTTCTAAAAAAAACAATATAAAATATTCCATTCTGGATACCCCCACATACCAAACCCCATGTACCTTTGCAATATTTTCTAGATCTGCAGTGTATATGCTTTATGCTCAGGGTAATGTAAAGTGATGGTATGGTAGCCTAGATATTGTTAAGTGCTTGCATGCCTTATTGCTTACAGCTGCCATTGCTGGTTAGCATAATGTGAAAAAGGGAGCAACTATGCATAAGCTTCCTCTGCCAGTTCATAGCCTCTCTATCATCAATACTTCTGCAGTGCCTCATTGTAGCCACCCATGTAAATTGGCAACTTGCAGGCAGACATTGGGCCCCACAGCCTACCGCCCCCCTTTGTATGAGCAAATGCCTAAGGCTTAACCTCAGGCGTGCTGTCCGGATAGGAGCTTGGAACATCTAGTTCTTGCAGCAGGATGAGTAGTTATCGTGGGAACTGAAGCGGTTGGGAGTTGAGGTGGCTGCCCTCTTGGAGGTGAAAAGACCAGGCACCAACACGATCAGAATGGGTAGGTACGCCTACTACTGGTTGGGCTGGGGCAATGGTCACCATCTCCAGTGGACTTCAAACGTCAGTAGTAGAGGTAACACTGGTTGATCAGCGTATTATGGCATTGTGACTGAAGTATGGTTTTGTGTCTCTTATTGCCATGTATGCCCCTACCAATGTTTGTAACCTTGAAGAGAAACAGGTGTTCTAGGCCAAACTCACATCTGCAGTAGACAAATGCCCCAGGCAAGATATTTACATTGTACTGAGTGGTTTCAATACAGAATCCAGCTATGATCAAGATGGCTATAAGATGTCTGTTAGTCCCCATGGCTCAGGAGCTGGTCTCAGTAGCGAGATTATCCTCCTTCTCCGGGACTTTGGTAGGTCTCAGAGATTGAAGATTTCTGGCTCCTGGCATCAGTGCTCCCATCTGGCAGTCTAGTCCCATTCCCCCTGACCTGTTGAGGGGTTTGGTCATCCCTCTCTGGAAGGGGAAAGGGGATTGATGGGACTGTAGCAACTACCATGGCATCACACCGCTCAGTATACCAGGCAAGGTTTTTACCCACATTCCTCTGAAATGGATCTGTGACCACTTACTAAGGCACCAGAGACCTGACCAGTCTGGATTCACTCCTGGCAAGTCCACAATAGACTGTATCCTAGCACTCTGATCCATTGTGGAATGCTGTCATGAGTTTAGTTGTGGGCTGATTGCAGCCTACATCAACCTTAAGAAGGCAATTGACTTGGTGCATCAGGAATCGCTATGGAAGATCCTGAGACTTAGGGGAATTTCAACAGAGATTATTGGTTTAATAGCAAGCCTATATACTGGTACTGAAAATACTGTAAAGTGTAGTGGGGGTCTGTCAAACTTCTTCACTCTCAACCCATTGCCGCCAGGGATGGCATGTACGTACATGCCATGCCCACTGTGAGTTGACTTGTTTGATTGTTTTTACACATAGATGGATACACTTGTACTAAGTCACCAATGAGCCAATTACGAGTACTGCCTGTCTCGCCCGTTCACCCTTTTCATTGATTTATGAAAATATTTAACGTTAGCCTAATTTACTGTTAAAAATAACACCATCTATATTTATAGCACTAGTAAGAATACGTTTTTTCCCGCCAATTCAAGGAAAGGTGAAATCAGGACTAGCAGAGCCATCTATGGACAGAGATATTTCCCAAAAATATAAAAAATGAGTACTGCATTTTCCCCGGTGGCAATGGGTTAACTCAAGGGTGAGGTAAGGCTGTGCCCTTGCACCAACACTTTTCAACACTTACATGGACTGGATAATGGGCAGAGCTTTGATCCAAAGTCAATGTGGAGAAATATCAAGGTCACCGACCTTGACTTTGTCGATGATGTTGCTATCCTATCTGAGTCTCTGGAATCACTCATGACAGCTCTTAATTGCATTCAGCAATGATGCAAAGCCCTTGGGCCCAGAGGTTTCCTGAACCAAGACCAAGATTCAGTATTTTGGAGGCCTGTTAGGGGAATCTGTTTAGTTGATACATGCTTGTGGTGAGGACGTTGAAGTCACAGAGAGCTTTACATACCTAGGTAGTGTAGTCAATGTCTCAGGGTTGTCAGACCAAGAGGTCAGTAGGAGCAGCAGGAGCAGGAGCCATGAGCTCAATCAACAAGGAGCATTTGGAGATGTTGGTACCCATGCAGAAGGACTAAGATCCAAGTCTTCAAGGCCTTGACATTGCCAGTTTTGCTCTATGGAAGTGAAACCTGGATGCTATCAAGTGCCTTGGAGTCTTGTCTTGATGCCTTTTGCAACAAGTCCCTATGCCAAGGCATGGGGTACAATTGACAGGACGATGTGTTCAACTGACGGCTACACTGCGAGACCAGCATGGGACCTGTTACTTGCATAATACAGGATCATCAGCTCAGACTATGTGGGCACCTAGCTCGTTTCCCTGTAGATGACCCTGCACATCAGGGGGCCTCTTTGTAAAACAATCCTGAGTGGAGGAGGCCTGTGGGAAGATCTAGGAGGTTATGGTTTGGGCAGCTATATCTGTTGTGAGGAGCTGGAAATGGGCCAAGGGCCTGCTTGGAGGTTCACTATAGACCCCCAATGATGATAATATACCTGTGTGTGTGTATATGAGCATATATATATATGCAGATGTACATCTATAGTTTGAATGAATAAATAAATTAAGCAATTGATTCCATCACTTACACTCTGCAGTAGATATGGATAAATCTCCCTCTTCTCCCATCTTCAACATGGGCATGAAATATCTCATGGCATTTCTGAAATCCATTTCCACTGAGAAAATCATAAACCCTGTCAACTAAAACATCAAATAAAACCACATGTGAAGGAAAACCCTTGCCTAGTGAATTCCTTTTTCCCTCATGCAATTTGTGCTGACTGATATTGGAATCCTGTGTTGTAATACTTTTGTACTCTTGTTGCAGCCAAGACATGGGGTTCCTTTCAAAGATGTCTGCTTCGTCAGCATAATTCTCTTGATGTTTCAGATTTGGTTCACAGGTCAAGAATCTCATTGATATATTTCTATGCAAGTGTCTGAAAAAAATACAGAAATTTCATTATCAATAACAATCTTTATTGATGAAAAATACTATTATTATCATCATTATTTTTTGTATTTTGTATATTTGATTCTTGTATTCATACCTAGAGAGATTTTATATCAGTACATATCAGCATGGAGTCATATCATATCTTATCCACAAG